TCCCATATATATTATACATATACACATCAAATTATTTCTGAATCATTATTTGATTCAAAATGACTGAATGGTTGTTATATTAGTTTATTGCCAAGTAGCCTATCTATTTATCTGATGATCAATTCTGACCTAATTTTGCCTAAAATTGGTGCAATGGCATGACACAAGGTTCTCATATGCATGCTGTGTGTTATCAGATGTTAATTCAGTCTAATACATTGTTATAGTAAATCACTGACATTCGTTTATTGGTGTGTGTTACAGAGATACAGAATACTAATTATATGTGTTTACCCCAAAGATAACAAACTACCATAAATCATTATATGATGATATATATCCTAAATAAATCCAATAAAATACCAATCACTCTTAAAGTCATATTACTGTCATGTCAAATATGTGTATGTGCATCTAATCTGATTGGTTATTGACAATCATTTCTCAGACACAGACAGGTTAAGAGTCAGAGAAAATTCAATGTATTTCACAGTGACATTCATGAAGTCATCAAATTGTAAATATTTTGTCTGTGTAATTACAGTTGTACATTAATGTGGTACTGTGGTTCTGATTGTATAGTGACTATAGATATCCTTGCATTATTGGCAATGCATTAATAATGTTGCTATGTTTAACGGAAGAGACAAGGTGTTTTATGAGTTGACAGTTTGTCTTTTATTGAGGTTTATTAATAGTTATAGTCAAGTGTCTTATCTCCTTTATAGTGCATGTTTGCATTAGGTGTCACCTGTCCTAGTTTTAGTGTCATTAGTTTCATATGGTCTCAGGAGTTTTACTAGAAAAAACTGAAAGAGGGAGCACTGCAATTCAGCGGTGCCACCAAGTGGGGAAGATAGGGTTGGAGCATTCTATGGCTTCCTTGGGGCCAAAATTATTATCAGACTGGTCACAGTTGAAGACTCTGGCCACATGTGATCCTTGGTCAATCAGAATTTTATGGTTGCCAGAGGATCTGCTCTCCAGGGTAAGGGGCGCATGGCCATGGCATGAGAGCGCTGCGCCCCTGTTCCCTTGTTAAGAAAAATCCTTGTGATCTCTAATATTATTTCAAATGACAATGTACCAGTAGTCTCTATAGGGTACTTCAATATAATAGGTGATTCTCCGTTCAACTGCGTGATCTCATGAGTTGTGTTAAAGATGCACACTGAACGTCTCCCGCAAAAATTGAACAATTTGATTTTGAACTCGATTTTTTTTATTTTGTAGCTCAGATTGAAAGACAGATCTTTGACAGGGGATTATTGCATTTGCATTTGCAATACCCTTACTATCATCAAATGTGTACAGCACATTATTAAGCATAGAACTATCCCCCAAAATACTTTATCGAATCGCCTCACTTTTAATAATTTGTTTTTTCTGATTACATTAGAAGCACTACCCTGTGTAAGGTATCTTTATCTATTAGGAGCTGTAGTTCCCAAATAAAGTAACCTTCTTTATTAAGAAGTAGAGTTCTCAAATAAAGTAACCTTCTTTATTAAGAAGTAGAGTTCTCAAATAAAGTAACCTTCTTTATTAAGAAGTAGAGTTCTCAAATAAAATACCCTACTGTTTTGAAAGGTGGATTGCCCAAATAAGGTAACCTAATTTATTAGGATGTGAAATTCCCAAATAATCTAGTAGGTAGAATTCCCAAATAAGGTAATCTATTTTATATGGCAGTATGGTGATCATATCGACTGACCTGTAGTGAAGGTCAATGAGATACATACTGCCCGAGAGCATACTTTACAGTATTATCGTGATAATCTTATTATTATTATTATTATTATTATGCATCAGTGCGTATGTGTATGTGTCCGCACCTGTATCTTAGACATGCCTGGACAATCAAACGTCACACATATATATCGTACTCGACCATGTTTGCGCCCATGCCCAGTCTAGTGCCCACCCCCCACTTTTGCGCAATTTATATATTCGGAGTCATATTCGACAAAGCGCCCACCCCTTCAAAATGCCACAAATTTTATCATTCCTTAACGAATACTGCCTGGTAATTGTTTTTATATCATGATACAGCTTGGATATCGACCGCTGTGAATATGTTGTGAGTGCATAGACCATGGTAACTGTGCGTAAACTACGCTTCGACAATGACCTGTTAATAAAAGTAAAATGCAGTAAATAGTTCATGGCGTATTCAGTTTACCGATAACAAATTGCTAGTTACCACTTTTAAAAAAAAAAAACATTTTATCTTTTATTCGCTGAAATCAATTCCAACAGATCGTACTTCGACATCGATAATTCACTTCCGCATTGCGTTACTAGAGAGTCTTCAGGAATTGCGTTGGTATAACAAAGCATTTTGAATGGATAACAGACTTGACCCATTAGGTCAAAGGACTTTGATGCAGGTCAAATGCAAATACATCATGGCGGAAAGTGCTTTTTAATGAGAGTTTGCGTAAGATCCAACACATTTGTCAGTGGCGATAATGATGAAGATTTTGACTTCAACTGTTTTCCAGTGTTTTTAATCTCGACTATTTCTGTTTCTTTGTTGTAAGAGTCAATGACGACGCACCTAATTTTGCAATTTAATTTTCCCTCAAAGACGTAATATCCCCTCAATCTGTCACACTGTGAATTAAAATTGTCGTTTGCACTTTTTTCCTAGGGGTGCTCGGGTTTATGGATGTATTTTGTTTGAACTTTGTACATACGTTGGACATTATGGGACCTTGATGCACGTCACTTCATCTTTCAGTTCCAATTTAAAATGGCCGACTGGTGGCCATTTTGTTTTAATGAATGCAGTTCTAGTGCCATACCTTTGCCATGCTTTGACTGATTATGTTCAAATTGTATATATTCATTGTACATCATGACATAGATATATTGGTTTGACTATCTGATTCAAAATGGCCAAATGGCAGCCGTTTTAGTGCTAAAAAATCTTCAAAAATTTAGCATTTCTAGCATTTCAGAATTTGATTTTAGCGTTTATGGATAGATTTTGTTCAAACTTGGTACATACATTAGAGACATGGATTCCTGATGCACAGCATTTTATTTTTCAGATCTGATTAACAATGGCTGACTGGCACCTATTTTGTTTAAATGAATGCGCTTCTAGAGTCATATCTCTGATATGGCCATTTTGTTTTTCAATCAATATTTCTCAATATGGACAAGTACTCATTTGATGATCAGATACAAGACGTCAATCATTTTAAAGGAAACCTCAATCCAAACAACATAATGACTCCTAAAGTTTGGATTGAGGCTCCCTTTAATGTTAAAAAATCATCATAATCAAGCATCATCTTCTGGATCCATATCTCTGACATGTTTATGTTCCAACTATATTACTATAAACAAAACTAAATATCTTAAACTGACAGGAACTGTGCCATGCATGGCTTGTTATACATCTTTTTTTCTGCCTTTAGATATAATTGTTAAAAGATTATAGGTAAAAATGACGAAACAAAAAATGTTTGCATGATTTACAGGATACAAAGAAAAGTGTTTAAGGTAGAGAAGCAGGTTCGTGGGCACTTGGGAGTGAAATTTTTTCTGTTTTGCTTTTTATAATCCATTTTTATTAACAGTCTTGGCTATAGACTGTTAAAATTTTGTAGAATTGTGAATAGTGAAACATTTTAAACGGGATCTCCATATTATGCACTATATTTAACTTTTAACAAAACGATATACATTTAAATTTGAAACTGTTACAGCCATTTTAATTATGAGCATTAGCAAACCTCTTACTGAGTGAATTGTTATGCAAATTAGCAATTATCTCAGCTTCTTTTTAGTGCACATCCCAGAACTTAAAAAAAATAGCTCCTAGATGCATTGACCTTTTGTTTTGAAATTTTCACAAATGATTGGCAATGTGTTTATTTTCAAAACGCCGTTGGGGCATTGTTTTTGGTTGAACAGTGTTACAACAATCGTACACACAACTAGCCTGGGTGTTAATTTATGCATAAACTTGAAGTAGTGAAATTTGAGCTGCTGCCCTGCAAAATTAACAACTGGTAGACAGTTTTCAAGATGGCACTTTCTTCATAGTAAACAGATGTACTCATGAACCAATTTTGACAGGAAACAGAAGCATGGTTTAGAAGCTAATTTTTTTTAAATCACTTTTGACCAAAAAAGCAAATTTTTGTGCACATTCAAGCTACAGTGTCCATAAAAAAAAATACTAAAAAAAATTTAAAATTCATACAATAAGCTTTCCGAAAATATATAGTTTTGTGGACAAGGGAGGTCATCTTGGTTTCCTAATTAACTAATTAAAATACATGTCAGGTAAACTGCATCTCTACCTTAAATGTGATGTCTCATAATCTGTGATGTAGTTTACGTGTATAATAATGTATTAGACGTGAGTAGACTCTCCTTTAATAAAACATCATTCACTTTATTTGTAGATATAAATGGGCATTTATTGGTGATAATAGTGGTCTAGATATGTTGAAGAAACAGTTTGTGCCTCATATTGCCAGACTCTGTCATTTACTGAATAAAAGAGTAAGTAAATATTTAGATGTAACTCTTTGTTGTGTACCTTTGCTGCTGAACGTCTCCACAGATAGCCAGAATGAATGGGAATAACTGTTGTTAGCAGGCATTGTTAAAATATATGAGTTGAAAACGGGGCACAGCAAGCATATTATTTCTTATGCAATAATATATGACAACAGCCATGGGCAATTCCCTGATGTGAATATACTAGGAATTGGCATATTGAAAGTTTAGAAATTTAACATACAAAGTTCTCATAGCAAAGTTAAGTTTGACAGTTATCCCAGATTCATTTTGCATTACTAATGCTTTTGTACATGATAATGGTATTTAACGACTTGTACTAGTAATAACATTAGGTAGTTCTGAGAGTAATATTTATATTTTTAAGTGTCACGTAAAAGTGAGTCAAAAGTGCTTACAAAATTACTGGCTCTCAGGAGTCGATACTTGTGCAGTATGCAGTTTGCCAGAAAGTACAAAGATCTGTACAAAATTTGACAAAAAATACCCAAAATGCTAATAAATTCAGTTTTGGGTGGTGCTTAGTATTAGTACCTAGATCCGTCCCTGACAGTGGTGTTGTATTAGGAAAATATATTAAGGTTGCCACTTCAATGTGAGCAAGGTACAGATATTAAATAATGTATATTTTGTATTGCAGCTTGACAATGCTGAAGAACATAACATGTTGCGATGTATTGCAGATAGACCTCTACTCACCATGTATAGTATTAAGTCCATCTGTCAACTGCAGTCATTTTTCAACACTCTTGTACATATCCACCAGACAGGAGGCAGCACTGAATCATTAAGTCTGTCACAGAGTAGCAGTCATGCACATGAATTCAGATCCAGCCAATCACTGGAGGGCTCTCATCGTATCAGTCGACAGGATAGTATGACGTCAGTAGTTGGTAAAACTGACGATGCTGATCACAAGCATTCTGATCCCATGTTGTTTATTGAGCGAATGATTGAAAGAGATTTTTTAGATCCACTAGTGCAATAAAATAGTCATATTTACAATGTATAAAAATTATATTTATTTTTTTGTGTTAACATAATTTGAGTTAGTGATACCCGGTATGTTGTATATATAATTGGTGAGAGATGCACTGCCATGGAAACCATGGCTTAGGTAAACCTGGTGCACTGCCATGGCAACTATGGCTTAGGTAAACCTGGTGCACTGCCATGGAAACCATGGCTCAGTTAGCCTGATAAAGTGATCTGGGCAAATTTCAATCCACGTTATTATACCAATTTAACCAAGTAAATTAATTATATTTAATAAGCCATCTTGGTGTGGTGAAGAAAATGATAGTAAAAATAACATTATTAACACTGTAGTTTAAATAATTGTCTATATTGTGTACAGAATAGAGTAAAGCAATAATATCCAACTTGGTGATCATGTTTAGTTTTTATGTCATCCACATGTGACAGATGTTCATTTCTTGTCACTCTGAGCTGGGCACCTACATATTTAGTATTTGTGTATCATACATGTCAGGCACAGTTACTTGTGTTATTTGGGTTATCTGGTCATGTGATCAAATTTATTATCACATGGCGGTATCTTGTGAAGTTGTGTGTCCACCGGACATCAATGTAAAGATAAATGTAGAGATAGGGTTGCCTGCCTTGTGTATATTGAGATGCTGTGTCTAAGTCTCTAATGAGTTAATTAAAGTTTCATTTCTGCAGCCTAAGAGTCAGAGCATTATCATATTATCCCATACATCTCAACCAATCAGTGGACAGTATGAATGTACGACAATGTCAATTTAAAACAATTTGTCCTTGCATCCAATGTATACTTTTATTAGTTAATAGAGACTTTATTTCTATGTATGTATTTATTTGTATGTTAAATTATTGTAAATCATACATTTATTACATGGCTACTTTCCCTGTGAAATTGTGAATCTATCTTTAATAGTTTCTTTGTGATCTAGTGATTTTGAATTAGTAATTGTTTTAATGAATACAAAACATGTCAAAAATATAAACCAATCAGAGGATTTCATGTTTATAGTTGAAATATTGGAGATGTTATTATATAATTTATTATTGAATATTGCTTCATCCTATTGAGAGTATGCTATTACATTATAGTAATTCATTCAATTGAATATTGAATTATCTACCTGTAAATTTGTATATTGTATCTTATTATTGAAAACTCAAAAATATCATTTAAGTGTGTTATTTCTTTTCTTTTTTGTAAAATAATTGTTACATGGTATGTTGTTTTATAATTATTCACTAGTAATTACATTTCTTTAATGTAGATCTATTAGGTATAGACACTTTTAGTACAACGGTAAATAATTCAGTATGCAAATCTTCATGAAGTCCAGTTTATCATTACTGTAGGATGTAATCAAAAAAGGGACTCACATTTTCTCTTCCTTCTGTCTGTCTCTCTGTGTGCCTGAAATCATATCTGGAACATGCCTGGAGCAGTTTTGTTTGTACAGAGCTGTATCTCTGACAAGCCTTGACTGATCATTTTCAAACTTCACATATACATGTTTATTTGTTTGGCCATATGATTCAAGATGGCCGAAATGGCGTCCATTTTAATGTTATAAAAATTCATCAAGATCTTAGTGTATGGAGAGATTGTGGTAAAAGTGTGATATGGTAGATGACCTAGATATCCTTAATGTGTATGGAGAGATTGTGGTAAAAGTGTGATATGGTAGATGACCTAGATATCCTTAATGTATAAAGGAGAATTGCTCTTAAAACACTACATCTATCATCTCATTTATCACATGTAAGTGTTTAGTCTGTACATTATAGACATGTTAATTGGTTTTATGCATAGTATTTATTATTGATTTTACTGTGTGCTATTCCATTGACATAGAGGAGGGCACGTATAGATCCTTGTTTTAGGTTAAATATTCAAAGAATTTATTGTGGTGTGGGCAGGTTGAGGGTGGTGGCAAGTAATTATTTAGAGTTTAGAGTTTATTTAAAGTTATTTTTATTACATGGATTATATTAATAGGTGCAAAAAATATGACGCTTTTATTTAATTTGGGATTCTTTATTTGAGACATCTTAAATTTTCATGCTAGCGCGAGTAGTATCTGCTTTATTTAGAACTAGAAAGTATTTTTTCCAGTTTAAGAAGTCAAACAGTATGATTGTGTAGGGTCTGCATATGCACTGTGCTATCATCACCAAGTTGAGTGCTAACTTTACTACCTTGAGTGAAGTTAGGCAAGTGATGAGTTCATGTGAAAGTAGAGTTAGGTAAAAAAAATGCAGTGGGAGTAGGGTTGGGCGAGTATGCATTTACATATATAAAGTTATTTCTGATTAATAAATCAATTGTATACATCTGAAAAATTGTTGACTTACAGTGTATATTTGTGTTATTTAGGGAATAAATGTTTCCATGGTAATGGAAATACAAACATTATCTGGATTTCTTTTATTTGTAGTGATTACACTTAGGCGAAGATTCAGTTCCTGGTCATTTGTGCACTTATTTAATGAGATGGTAGGGCATGTGTTGGATAATTGA